CCTCACCCCAACTCTGCTGGACTCCTTCCCTCTGACACTGGATATGGAACAGGGCCTGGGAACAGTCGCTTTGAGTTCCAACCCCAAACTCCAGAAAGAGCAGGGACACAGGGCACCAGAGGTCCAGGAAAGCACTGGCAGGAAGTGGGGTCTCTGGGCCCCATGGGAGAAGGGTCCTTTGGCCCATGCGCTGAAACTGGGACCATCACCTGGATCTCTGTGGGCAGTAGACCAGGCACTGAGCTGTGCAGAGAAACACGTGCCCAGAAAGTCTCCATCCTGTCCTGGAGGAGGTGCTGGGAGCCATGAGAGCATCTAAGAGATGGAGGATCATGGCTTTCTATCACCACACCCTCCCTGCAAGCCCGACAAGACCCTACTCAGGCTGGGATGTGCTGAGGGTGGACATGATCGGGAAAAGAGGAGTTGCCTTTTCTGGACAAGCCTGTCCTGGCCAAGTCTACCCTTGTCTGCTACCTCTGGGGAGGCCAGATGGAGACATGCAGAGGTGTGGGGGCTCACTCTTTCTTCCAGTCCTTTCCAGACTCTTGGTGCCCTCCATTCACACTTGCACGTGCACACACACTCACACAAGCACATGCACACGTGTGATCTCAGACGAGTTTCAAGACTCCTCTCCATCCATCAGAGAGGGCAGACAAATAGTCCTGACTCCCAGGGGGTGGGTGCCAGGGCCCCAGCACACAAGATGGGTAGAACCTACCTGGGTCGACAATCACTGAAAATTTGTACCTCAGGTCAGGGTCAAATGGCTCAATCCCACACCAGTAGGTGTCTTCATCCTCCTCCTGGAGATTCTCCAAGGTCATGGTGAATTTTCGTTGGCTGTGATTGTCCTGGATGGATGCTCGGCCCTCCTTCACCAGTTGCTCTGACCCAGTGGTTTTAACAAGGATTTTGCAGGAATCCCCGTCATTCCCACGACAAAAGCATTTCTTGTAGGACTCCCATCCCGGGCTATACACACAAGATACGGTCAGTGTGCCCCCGTATATGCCTCTTTCCGCTTCCTCCTGGCAGGTGTAGAAGTGGCCTAGGAAACAGAAACCCAACATGCATCCTGTCCTTCCTTGACCCTAGGGTTGCCCCTGGTGCTGCTGGGTCTCCTGGCCCTCCCCTGAAGACTGGCCTGGAGCCTCTGTCCTGTCTAATAACCACATTCCCCTCCATCCCCTTCATCACCTGCAGGATTTCTTTTGCTGTCACCCCTCTTGTGAATCTCCCTTGAGGCTCCTAATTGCCCAATACAGAGACCTCTGCTCCCTCAACATCGTTCTGATCACTGTCCCTTGCCTACCCTCAAGCAGCACCTCTTCCTGGCAACACAGAGTGCACACTGCAGCCACAGGGGTATTTCTGAATCCCAGAGCTGGCGAGACAAAGGGGGCCCCCCTCCCCATTTATGCCCCTGACATTCTAACCCACACACACCTACAAACCCTCAGCCTCTGAATTGACATGTGGCACAGAAGTAAACACACCAAACACACTCACACTCATTGACACAGGTGATTGCATGTATTTTTACAACACACCTTGCTCATCTGTGTCTCCATACCTTTGCACAAGCTCTCCCTTCTGCCTACAATGTGCTTTCTTCTCTGCTTGAGAGAATCAAGCCTTTTTATTCATCCTCCAAGGCTTTGCTCAAACAGCATCTCTTCTATTATTTCTCTTGTTCTACAGACAACTCTGTCACCCATGGTGTCACCAGAGCACTTTGTACCAGTCTTGGTAGTTGAGCTAATGACATCTGATGGTGGTTTGGTCTTTGGCTTAATCAGAGCAGAGACTCAGGCAGGGATACATCAGTGTGGGGACGAGCAATTCTCCAGAGAGCCTGTCACTCCAGTTTTGCTGTCTGTCTTCCTCCCTGTTGTTTGAGCTCTTCAGAAAAGTGCTTCCTGGCTTGAGTGACAAATCAAGACCAGTTGTGCTTTTAGATGATCCATAGGTCTGAACCCCACCTTGACTGAGTGGGTCTCAGCTGGAGGTTGAGCGTCTGTGCTTCTTCAGAGTTCCTCAGGAATTCACGCATTTATGTGTGTGTGTGTGTGTGTGTGTGTGTGAGTGTGTACGTGCATGTATGCATCTATCATCTGTCTATCCGTGCAAACAACCATGGTACCATCTATTCATCCATCCATCCATCCATCCAGCTATCCATCCACCTATCTACCCACTCACCCGTCCAACCAGCCAGCCATCTATCCAACCATCTATGATCTGTCCATCAATCTTTAGCCAGGGTTAACAAACAGTATCTAGAAAATAGACACCATTTATGTTATTTGTTTTTTAAATTTTCTTCCAGCAACACTTACCTTAGTACCTTTAGGTAACAAAACTTAAACAAAAAAATTTTTTAATAAATGTCTGGATGAGTGAAAGTCTCTGCCATTTCCCTAGGACACGCTCCAGCGTCCGTGTCATGCTCCAGCCCTGCGGGTGTGCAGTCCTGAAGTCCCCACATCACTCACCTTGGACGATAAGAAGGAACAGAGCTGGGAACAACCACATGTCCTCCCTGCCTGGCTTGTGACCTTGGTGCTCAGCAAATGTCAGCTGCCCTCTGGGGACTTGAACTGAACTCAGAGGCAAACTGCCTCTATTTTAATTTTTTTTTCCTTTTTTAGTTTCTCTCATGTACTTCCCTTAAAATTTTCCTTCCCTTAAAATTTTCCTTCTGTTACTTCCTAATTTCATTAATTAGAAGAAAATCAGTGCCTTCTTTGGGAGCATATGGCTGACATCATCATGTGTCTTCGGTAATTTGGGGAAGCAATGTGTCTCACTGACCAGTGTGCTGCTTGCAATTGTGCATGAAGACCTAGGGAGTGTGCTGCCAGCAAGCCAGGTGACATACTGCAGCAGTGTGGGGACACCAGAACCTCTGAGTCAGATCCAAGGGAGGGATGGGCACACATTGGGTTTGCATGAGGGAAGACTCAGTGCTCGGGGTTCACATCCAGCCTCGCTGGATAGACAGACCCATCCTGAACCTCCTTCCGAGCAGCCCACCTCAGTGCATCCAGAACACCCCTCCTGCCCTCGGCCCTGGTCCAGTACAGATCATCCCCTGCTGACTCTTCCACTCAGGGTCCCCTGATCCTGAGTCCCTCTGAGGCAGAAGTGCCATGGGGAAAGCAATCTACACGTTCAGTGCAATCCCAATCAAAATTACACCAGCATACTTCTCAAAACTAGAACAAACTATTCTAAAATTTGTATGGAACCACAAAAGACCCTGAATAGCCAAAGTAGTATTGAAAAAGAAAACCAAAACGGGAGGCATCACCAACCCAGACTTTAGCCTCTACTACAAAGCTGTCATCATCAAAACAGTATGGTATTGGCACAAAAACAGACACATAGACCAATGGAATAGAATAGAGAACTCAGATTTGGACCCAAAAGTGTACAGCCAACTAATCTTTGACAAAGCAGGAAAGAGTAACCCATGGAAAAAAGACAGCCTCTTTAACAGATGGTGCTGGGAGAACTGGACAGCAACATGCAGAAGAATGAAACTAGATCATCTTCTCACACCATACACAAAAATAAACTCAAAATGGATAAAGGACTTGAATATGAGACAGGAAACCATCAAAACCCTAGAGGAGAAAGCAGGAAACAACCTCCTTGACCTCAACCGCAGCAATTTCTTACTTGACACATCCCCAAAGGCAAGGGAATCAAGAGCAAATATGAACTATTGGGACCTCATCAAGATTAAAAGCTTCTGCATGGCAAAGGAAACAATCCATAAAACAATAGGCAACCGTTGGAATGGGAAAAGATAGTTACAAATGACATATCAGATAAAGGGTTAATATCCAGAATCTATAAGGAACTCAACAAACTCCACACCCAAAAAACAAACAATCCAGTGAAGAAATGGGCAGAAGATATGAAC